ATTTGCACGTTCCGATATTGTACACAACCGTCAATAATAGCTCATTCTCCAAAAAACATCTTTCGGTCTACAAACAATTATTTCGTCACCAAGTTTTTGATTTTATAAGGAAAAAGATATGCCCGACGATGAATAAAGGATTATTCGAAAGTACTTGCATTTTAAAAAAATATGAACTGGAAAAAAAGACAACAGTTTTATAGATGAGGATCACGTCACTTTATGGATTAACAGTATTTTAATGCATACATTATACACTACTAGCGATGGATGTCGCCAATAATAGCATTAATATTGCTGATTGATTCTATGAGTGATTATTTTTTATATATATATATATATATATATATATATATATATATATATATATATATATATATATATATATATATATATATAATAATAAATAATTTACATATAATCAACGCAGATGTATAATAACTAATTATGATGTTATGTCGGCGATCTAAGAAATTACCGAATCATATTATAATTATATACTATCTGATCTAACCTTACGTATATGGACACACATACACAGAAACACACACACACACAAATATATATATATATATATATATATATATATATATATATATATATATATATATATATTTATATATAAATTTTCATAGAGTATATCTGTAAAAGGTCAATATGAATAAAGACAAATGGAAAATTAGCTTAGCCGACACGGGTCGTCTTCTGAGTGAGTTTATCAAGGTAAACTTGCTTTGATAAAGTCCCTTGAGCCTCAGAGAAGAAAAACGCTTGATGAGTTTGCCTTTTATTTTTATTATTATATATATATATATATATATATATATATATATATATATATATATATATATATATCAGTGTGTGCGTGTATGTGTGTGTCTGTCTGTCTCTGTGTACATGCCATTATTACACAAAATACTCAGCAGACGCTGAACAAAATACTAAATGCCATTCACAACAAAGGACGGTATCTTGAATGAATATGATATATATATATATATATATATATATATATATATATATATATATATATATATAAAACATACTTTTCATATAATTAACTGTAAGCAGATGTATAATAAATAATTATTCATAGAAAAAAAAAAAAACTGATTCAGCAAAAAAAAACATTTATCCAATTGTAATATATGAAAATGTATTCATAGAATGCAAATTTCAGATTTTAAAAATATTAAATTGCTTTAATACTCTAAATTATTCAAGTAGAATATTCTACAATGTCCCAATAATGTTATCAGTAGTTAAAAAATACAAACAGAATATTCCGTAATTGTTACTGATGCAAGAAGTTTTTCATCGTGGCAAGGGATATTCTTTACTTCTTGCCACGATGAAAACCTTCTTGCATGAACATCATTTACAAATTCACAATAAGAACTGAGCGCTCAATTCTGGAAAGAAGGTAAAAGTCACAGGGAAATCTCAAAAAATCTGAATATTTTATTTACTACCATTAGTTTATTCATTGCAAGGAATAAAAACTCAAATAATGTTGAAAACGAAAGAAGAACGGATGCTCCACGGAATATTTCTTCAAGATCTTTGAGGAAATTAATGAGTCAAATTAAACAAAATTCATTGATTACTCGTTAGGAGTTGCTGCATGATTTGCTTTTATCAGAAGGCTGTGTAATTAAACAGTTAATAAGCAATGGAATTCCTAGGAACATTATAAATTCATGCGACACTCGGAAAAATCCCTGCTATTGAAAAGACACAGATATACCGGATTTAAATTCGTTCGTAAACATATGAATAAGGAAAAATCCTACTGGGAAAGAGCACTATGGACAAACGAAACCAAAACTGATTTGTTTGAACGTAATTCTAGAAGTCATATATGAAGGAATATGATGATGCCTTTAAACAAGAGGTAAAGAATTGGTAATTCGCAAGAAGAACTGAATGTTAAATCCTGGATAGAAGGGGAAAATTGTAAGAAAAACTCAGACAACCTGAATATTCCATTTACTACCAATAGTATATCCATTGCAAGGTATAAACACTCAACACTGTTAAAAACTAAAGAACAGGTCCGCCACGGAAGAATTCTTCAAGATCTTTGAGGAAATAAATGCGCCAAATTAAACAAAAGCCAATGTTTACTCGCTAGGTTTTGTTGGTTGATTTGCTTTCGACATGAGTGTCGCTAAACGGACAATAAGCATTAAAATTCGTAGGAACAATATAAAGTCATGATCCCATCGGAAAACTCCACTGCTATTAAAAAGACACAGAGATTCCAGGTTGAAATTCGTTCGTGAAAGATAAGGAAAAATCGTATTGGGAAAGAGTATTATGGGCAGACAAAACGGAAATTGAGTTGTTTGGGCGTCATTCTAGAAAACATGTATGGAGAAATATTGGTGGTGGCAGCATCATGGTTTGGGAATTTTTTTATTTATTTTTTTTATTTTTTGCAAAAGGTACTGACAACATATCAGTAATAGATAGTAGAATGAATAACGCAGTATATCAAAATATTTTGGAAGGAAATTTAATGATTTCGATCGAAAATTTGGATATCTTCCTGTTTGGATCTTCCAACGAGATTATGTTCCTAAGTACATAGCAGCATTTCCGAAGAAATGACTTACTGACAATAATGTAAATATCCTGAAATGGCCAAAACAATTCATATTTTATATTAAATATAAAACCCTAATCCATATTAGAAA